CCCCAAAACCCCAAAACCCCAAAACCCCAAAACCCCATGAGGTCTAATAAATAGATAAAATTCGGGTAAATTTGAATTCTTATAATTATTAAATTTTCTAATGATAAATTCAATATACAAAGTAGCAAACAACCTGTAAGTACTTCATATCATCAATATCTCTTTTAGTAAAGACAAGGTCAATAACATGACTGAGTATCAAAAGGTTCTCAAAGAATGTACCTCTAACGAGAATTGGAACATCTCTAATTCTAAGTTGCAAGTGCTTGCTGATCATTCTTATAATTGGTAAGATAAAGTACACCTCAGACATTATTAATAGGAATGATTATACAGTAATTATGCAACACTTATGGAAGAAGATGAATTCTAAACCAAAGGAATGGAGAAGAATTTTCAAGGCATTGCATGCAATGGAGTATCTTATTAAAAATGGTGCCCCTAGATGCATTCAAGAAATTAAGGATGATTTGTTTAAGATAAGAGCTCTTCAAGATTTTTCCTACTCAGAAAATGGCACTGATAGAGGACAAGGTGGTAAGATAACTTTACTCTAGAATAATTATTTATATAGTAAGGGATAAGTCAAGATCCTTGTGTGAGCTATTAAGTGATCCAGCTAAGCTCCAGTAAGAAAGAGAATATGCCAAACAGACAAGGGATAAGTTTTCAGGGATTTCATCGACATCAAGTGATGGCACTTAGGGTACAACAGGCTCTAAAAGTAACTTCAATCCAAGTACGTCAGCTGCACCTGCTTCTGGAAAGTTCGGTGGTTTTGGCTCAGAAGATTTAACTAAATTTGGCTATAATCAACCAGGATAATTTGGCTAAGCTTATGATCCCTATGTGAAGACTTAAACTGCTACAACAAGTCTAGATAAACCCTAAAAATAGAGTGTTACAGAAGAGGCTGAGAAGAAGAAAAAGAAAAAGAAGAAGAAGAAGAGTAAGAAAGATGAGTCTGACTCTTCTGACGATTCCTCTGATAGCTCAGATTCCTCATCAAGTGATAGCGAGGAGGAAAAACCAAAGGGAAAATCAAAAGGATTAAAAGAGGCGCCCAAAGCTACTCGTACCATTGATGCAAACGCTTAATAGCAATAAGCAACAACTCAATAAAAATAAGGAGGAGATATGATTGATCTTCTTTCGATAGGTTCAGTCCCAATGATTTAATCTACTTAATAAACACAACCTCAAGGATTTAACTTTATCTAGTAAACATAGCCTTAACCACAAATTTAATAATAGCAGCAAACTTAAGGTGCAAGTTTACTCATCGATAATAGTTTATTCGCTCAACCAAATGTCTAGTAGACCTAGCCAAATAGTCTTTTCAATAATATGAATGTAAATCAATAACCATTCAATAATCAGTTCGGCTTACCCTAGTAATAACCTTAAAACCAATCTTAACAATTACAAAATACTTTTGGTTTCTAGTAACCACAAGGTGGATTATAGGGCTTCAACACTGCACCATAAATAAATAGCTTCTAGGGAAATCCATAAACTTAAAATAGCAGTCTTTTTGGAAATCTAAATGTCAATTCATCAATCAGCTAATAATAGCAATAAAGATCATCGCTTTAAGGCTTTAATCAACCAAGTAATTAGTTTGATCCATTTGCTAGTATAACAACAAATACAACTTAGAGTTAGCCTGGATTTAATCTCCATTCACAGTCGCAGCCTTAATTAAATATAAATAATTTACCAAACTAATAATTCGGATTTTAGCAAACCTAATAGACTTAGTCGAATTTCAATCCAGGATTTGGAGGAATTCAATAATAAACATAATAGTTACAATAATAATAGCCACTTGCACACCAACAATAATAACAACCACATAATTAAGGATGGTAACCAAAGAGCAAAGCTGATGTTTGGACAGAAGGAAGTGGCCTCTTTGATCTGAATAATCTAAAATCCGGTGATAAAACTTTACTGGAATTTAAACCAACTTCAAGTTAAAAAGATGATGAAAAAATTTGGGGAGGACTTAGTCAGCCCTAGACTCAAGTTAATCAATTGAATTCGTTCGGTAATCTAAATCCAGTTGGCTAACAATTTTCTCAAGGAAACCAAAGTAATCTTGGAGGATTTGGGTTATAATCTTAATAAAAGCCAGGATTCAATCCTAATCCAATGGGATTGTACAATTAGCCAATTCAACAATAATAATAGCAACAGCCTATGTTTATGAATCAACCTTTAAATTATGGTGGCTTTGCAAATGCTATGCATATATCTCCTTAATAATAAATTCCTCAAACTCAAGCAAATCCTCTTTTTGGCTTCTAGGGTCAGCCTTAGTAGAATATGGGTGGAATGCCACTCAACACTGGATTCAATTCCAATGCTAGTTTCGGTTTACAGCAGACTTAATAAAGCTAATACAATCAAATGAACGGAAATGCTACTGGAGGATTTGGTTTCATACAGCCTAGATGAGAATTATTACTATCTATTATCATACATATTCCTAAAATTCTCTAATTAAACTTTATTTAAGCATTATGGGGTTTTGGGGTTTTGGGGTTTTGGGGTTTTGTT